CTGGTCTCCGATAGGAGTCCAAGATGGCAGATCCACGCTGCATTAGCTGATAGGGGACCTCTGCATGAATCTCTCCTCGCTCTCCATTCTCTGTCAGTTTTCTCACTCCATTTAGTGCTTGGCTGAGTTCTTTATCTCTTCATTTGATGTTTTAGGGTTTCAGTATTGCTGTTTTCTCTGTTTGGCTTAGTTTTTTGGATCTTTGCTGTGGAGGGACGGCGTGGTGCTTCTGCCTAGAGCACCGTTTTTCCCTGATGCTGCTTCCTTCTAATTTCTATATGTACACATGATCCTAAATTTCAAAGAAAACCTATCCAAATGACTTATAAATATTTTAATATATAATTATCAATTATATTAAACTTTGTAATACATAAACACTTTTATGGACTATTTTATTGTTACTGTACCATGAGAATCAAACACATACAGTAAAGTCAGAATATGATTCATTATGGCATGAAATTCTAAAATCTTGTATTACTAGGTAATTTCTCTCTTTTTATGTATCTTCTCTCCCCAGCTAAACATGTCTTACAAACTGAATATTTCCTAGAATGCCCCAATAGAAGTTATTTTTTTCTTTTTTTGCCATTAGTTATTTTTAATTGAAGTAAATATAACAAAAAAATTTGCCGTTTTAACTATTTTTAAGTGTGCAATTCAGTGACGTTAATCATATCATTATGTTGTGCAACCATCACCATTCTACACTTCCAATTTTTTTCATCACCCCAAACAGAAACAACTTAAGGTATTCCTAGGCAATAACTTCCCATTCCCCTTCCCCGGCCCCTGGTTAACCAATAAATACACTTTTGTATCTATGCGTTTGGCTATCTAGCTATTTCGCATTTAAGTGGGCTCATACAATATTTGTCCCTTTGTGTCTGAATTATTTCACTCAGCGTGATGCTTTTAAGGTTCATCAATGTCACAGCATGTATCAGAAGTTCATTTATGGCTGAATAATACTCCATTAGATGGATATACCACATTTTGTTTATCCATTCATCTACTGTTGGATACTTGGGTTGTTCCCACCTTCTAGCTAGAGTAATAATACTACAATGAACACTGGTGTACAACTATCTGTTTGAGTTCCTGCTTCCAGGTCTTTTGGGTATATACCTATGAGTGAAACTGCTGGGTCATATGGTAAATCTATGTTTAACTTTTTTAGGAATCGTCAAACTGAAGACACGCTAGTTAAAAAGGGGAGAAGCAACCTGAAAATGTGCCAGGTAAAATGAAAATTATAACCCACGATAAAACAGAAACTCAGATCTGTTTCTTCAATTGGGCCAAGATGTAAAAACAGTCAGTCTTCCAAGACAGTGTTCTTTCCTGAGGCATTATAATTCTTACCTCATTGCTCTAGCAGTTTTAATTAGCTACTGCAGTTTTCCTCCTTAACCACACATAAGGATTTCTCAGTGTAGACCAATGAGCTGCTCCCATTTCCTCTCTATTCTTCATACCACATTTTCCAGATTTTTGATAGATTTCTGGCAAGTATATCACATAATATTAAACTGCTACAATAATGAATAATTTTTAAAGAAACTATACTGCAATAATCACTACCTCAACAGGACTAAGCAGCAAAACACCCCCAGGGTACTTTCCCAGCAGAGAGTTCAGAATTCTCTTTTCCTACTGAGTCAGTGCTCTCTCCTTCTGAAGGGTTACTTGGGTATAGTGAACAAAACCTTGACACACCACCGGGCAACACCTTTTCATGTGCCTTTTGTAAAATTATTGTTTAAATATGACTGCTGAAAAAAGATTTTTTCCAAAATTATTATTCAAATATATTTCTATTGTTTAAATCCACCACTCGTCTGTTAGTTTGTCATGCTAGGGTGGCTTGCATGTTGCGATGATGCTGGAAGTTAAGCCACCACATATTTCAAACACCAGCAGGATCCCCAACGATGGCGGGTTCAGCAGAGCTTCCAGACTAAGACTAGGAAGAAAGGCCTGGTGAGCTACTTCCGAAAATTAGCCAATGAAAACCTTATGAATCACAACAGAAAATTGTGACTTTCTTGCTATGGACATGTCATCAAGAGGGATCAACTGCCAGAGAAGAACAACAGGTTTTGTGAAATAGAGAGCCAACGAGGGCATGAGATACCCTTGGTGAAATGGACTAGCACAATAGTAGCCACAAGGATGGATTTGAATATGCTGGTGATTATGAGGACGACACAGGTCCAGGCAACGTTTCATTCTGTTGTACAAAAGGTCACCATGATTCTAAGTCTACGCAAGGGCAATGAACAACAATATTGTCTAAATAGGAATATCCCCTGTATAACCCAGCTAAAATGCCACCAAAGATTCTTAGAAGCTGAGAAGAAGTGAATTTACAGGCATTCAGTGAATCTTAAATATCATTTAGCATAAAACTTTATAGTAAAAATAATTTTTTTTAAAAAAAGCACCCCTTTGTTGGTGATCGGTACAGACAGAAAATAGTTGGGTTGATAATATTTACACTTTTTTTTCCTCTTCTTTATTTGATCTTTCCTGATGCATTCATTTTCTTCATTTGTCTTCAAATGTAGTTGAGGTACATCAGTGACTATAGGAAAAAAGTCAAGCAACAACATGTGTAATGCATTTAAACAAAGAAAATGTAGTCAGAAAAAAACAGGAAACAAGCAATACATAAATAGCTGTCATTCTTAATTGTTATTGTTTAATCTAAAACAGGGACTAACAAATGTTTCTGTGAAGAGCCTGAGAGTAAATATTTTAGGCTTTGCAGACCACATGATCTCTGTCCCAACTATTCAACTCTGCTGTAGACATTACATAAATGAATGGGTGTAGCTCTGTGCCAGTAAAGCTTTACTTACAAAACAAGCAGCCAGTCAAATCTAGACCATTCTTTTCCTCATGTCACAATTTTCATAAAGCTAGGAGAGAGAATTTTTTCAAGGATCCTCTATACATATATTTGTAACTTCTAGAACATAATCACTTGCAGGAGTGCCACTCAGAGTGACTTATGGCTAGTGTCATACTACAACCTGTTGCAAATATTGAGAGAATGCCTTAGAAACTTTCATAGCAATTAGGGAGAGTACTTTTGTAGGTTGAATTCTGGGCTTCTACCTGTAGACCTTTATTTTTAAACATCACTTTTCTAATAATTCATTTTTTATTGTATTTTACAGAAGTATCAGTCTGCAACAAATAGGAAATTAAAAAAACTACAACAACCACCTGGTCCTTGACCTGGTGGCGTACTGGTTAAAAGCTATGGCTGCTAACCAAAAGGTCAGCAGTTCAAATCCACCAAGTGCTCCTTAAAAACCCTATTGGGCAGGTATACTCTGTCCTATACGGTTGCTATGAGTCGGAATCGACTCGATTGCAACGGGTTTGGTTTTTTTTTTTTTTTTGGTCCTTGACCTGGATAGTTTGAGAAGCACTTAAGAGTACTGCTTTTAAAGTCATTGTTAAAAGACTTGTTTACAACACTAACAATTCTAATTATGAAGCTATGCCCCCAGAAAAAATTACCAAGTCTATGTGAAATGCCATCACCTCCGTTTTTTACAGAGTCTGTCAGAGGGCTTCCATAAGCAAAACTAGTATTAATTGAATTTTCAGGCTGCCTTCTTGAACTGTAGTTTATGTTCAAATAAAGTCATTGACAGAGTGCCTCACAGAGATTTTCTAAGAACTCAAATACACTTCTTTTCTGAGGTAAGATTTTGGAAAGGAGAAAGCGGAGGAGGAACCATCTTACCTTACATTCAATCCTACGAGGTTTGTTTCACCTTCGGAATCAACTCTAGCAGACTGCAGTAACCCCTTGGTACACAAGGCCTTGAAAAAGGATTGGGAGAAAAGTCTGGGCTCGGCCATTAGCAACCCAGGATAGAGGCAATAGCCCAATGCTCATGTGCATATGCAACTCGAATCTAACCAAACTTCTTATTTTACATATAATGAAACAGAGGCCCAGAAAACCTTTTAAAAACTGCTCAGTATCAGAGTCAAGTTTGGTAGTTAGACCCTTTTAACTCTTCTTCTAGTGTACTTCCTACTCTACCAAACTGTTATTCCATGAATTCTGCATAACTGGTTAATACTATACACAAAACCACAGAGCAAAATTAATTGTTCTTACTGTTTCTCTTTGAAATATTAATAGTAAACTGAATTTTTAAGTGAATAATTCAAATAGTATTTTAATGCTGATTTCTAAAAAAAAACAGTAGTATATGTTTAAAATTTAAAAACTAAGGGTCTGTAGGAATACACATGCTTTCTTTTCTATGACTAACATATATTTGTGAGATCCAGATGATGGAGGTCAATTAAGAGCAAGGTGACCTGGGTAATAAATCTGTTTTGTTATGAATTAAGGTAAAATAACCTAGCCTGCCTGAGTATCCATTTCACTATTACATGTCTCAGTGATATGCCTAATGATTAATGTGGTTAATGAATGATGTATCTTCACAGAGGATACATATTTAAAAATATAAAGTATTATTAGCTTCTTCTAACCATGTGGGCTTCTCAGAACTTTATCATAAATTCTACTGATATGAAGTAGTTTGGAGCATTTTCATCTGCATTATGAGCATTATCTGAATTGCCTCATAAATGATCCCTTTGGGTTTTATTTCCTACGCAATTTTTTTAATTATAAAAAATCAGATTAATATGTTGTTGGGCTGTTTGTAATTTTAGATATCTAAGAAAAGGTTCTACACTTTACAGCAACAACTAAATGTACTAATTTTAAACAGAGGTTATAAAATATGCTAATGAAGTATATATTTTAAATCTGCTTGTAAATACATGTATAGCCCATTTCCACCCAGTGGTAATAAACTGGTACTCTGGAAATGTAAACCAATTGTAATACTATTATAGAACCAGAATACCTGGGTTAGAATCCTTGCTCCCCCTTAGCTATATTACCTTAGACAAGTCGCATCAACTCTCTTTAACTCAGTTTCCTACCCTATAATTAGAGAATAATAATAGCTAGCTCATAGGGTTGTTCTGAAGATTAAGTAAACTAATACATGAAAGTACTTAGACTACTTTCTTGAACAAAATAAGTGCTATTATTATAATTATTCAATATTATTCAGAACTAAACATAACTAGGGAGATCAATCTGTAGCTGCGAAAGATTATTTAGAGAAACTGAGATAATTTATAAATTATCCACTGTTTTTCATCATTCAGACCACTTTCACTCTTTGTGGGTATGGAGAATGAAGAGCCTTCTTGAACAGGTTTCTAAAAATTAAGTACAGTATTTTTAAAATCCAAAAGCAAAATGTCCATTTTTTTAAACCGAAAATCATCTTTCCCCTACATCCCACTGTCTAAATCAGCAAAGTAAGCTGGGATAGTGAGTATCTGGCATTTATTAGCCTCTGCTGTGGAAAAAAAATACTCTACTAAAAGGAAGAAGAGGAGGGGGAACAGCTGTTGGGAAAGCAACTAACAACCTGGGCTTCAGGCCTGTAGAGGCAGCAGTAGGAAGTGGAAAGGGCATTGAGCTAAAGACTACTGTCTCCCAGCAAGCTTCTTTTAGTCCCATCACTTCACTTCTTTATCCTGGAATTTTAAATTCTGGCCAGTCCTTACAGAAATGGCTACTCAGGTCTGGAGCATAAAATGTACAAGAGGGGCCTGGAAATTCAAAAGCTCCTGGGATCGTGTTAAAAGTTCCATAGAGCCAATCCGAAGGGGCTCTTCCTGGACAAAAATGGGACAAACTGCTCATCAAAAAAGATAATAACTTCAATGGCATAAAGCACATCAAAGATGTTTAAATTCACCAGTTCACAATGACACTCAAAAGAAACTTTAAAATCAAAAGTTCACTAGTCAGATTATAAAGGGAAAAAATTAAGCAGTTATCTTGCCTTTTCTATATGACCAACTAAGAACAGGAAACCAAATAGTTGACTAAGGTAAAATTCTTCTTTATAGAAATTTCCAGCTAGTAAATGCAAAAGGATAGAGTCATGGATTGAATTGTATCCCTCAAAAATACGTGTATCAATTTGGCTAGGCCATGATTCCTATTGTGTGACTGTCCACCATTTTGTCATCTGATGTGATTTTCCTATACGTTGTAAATCCTACCTCTATGATGTTAATGAGGCAAAAAAGGCAGCAGTTATGTTAATGAGGCAGGACTCAATCTACAAGATTAGATTGTGTCTTGAGCCAATCTCTTTTGAGATATAAAAGACAGAAGGCAGCAGAGAGACAGGGGAACCTCATACCACCACGAAAGCAGAGCGCGTCCTTTGGACCCGGGGTCCATGCGCCTGAGAAGCTCCTCAACCAAGGGAAGACTGATGACAAGAACCTTCCTCCAGAGCCCACAGAGAGAGAAAGCCTTCCCCTGGAGCTGATGCCCTGAATTTGGACTTGTAGCCTACTAGACTGTGAGAGAATATATTTCTCTTCATTAAAGCCATACACTTGTGATAAATCTGTTATAGCAGCACTAGATGACTAAGACAGATAGACTTAGAATATCACTATTTTGTAATCCTTAATTATGTAAAGGGTCAATCCAAAGATCATTAATAGCTGTTAAAATCAATAGTCGAAAAGCTGTTGGGGAACTTTAATAATGAATACATCAGGCCTAAAAGGCCTGAATCCACTGATCAATCTTGAGATCACAAAAAGAAAGAGTGAAACATTATATGACTGCTAATGTCATGCAGTAGGAAATACAAAACACCAGCTTTGCAGTGTTCTTGCCAACACCCCAAACCTTAGCAAAGCCTCTCAATCTAACTACTAGTAGTAATGCAAATAGAACAAACAGAGAAATATGTTAAAAAACTAGAATCTGGTTTCTTCAACAAAAAAACACTCACATACAATTCATGGGGCAAAAAAAAGGAGGAAGAGACCTATAGATGAAAAGAGACTTACGAAATGTGTCAATCAAATATAATCAATAAAATTGTCTGGATCTTAATTCAAACTATCTAGTTTTTAAAAATTATGACACAATCAGAGAAATGTGAATACTAACTGGATATTTAATGACATCTGGAATCACCATTACTTTTGGGCGTGGTAATGATATTTGGGATTTTTTTTAAGATTTCTTATCTTTTAAAGGTACATACTAAAGTATTTACAGATAAAATGTTATATCTAGGAGTTGCTTCAAAATAATCTAGTGAGGAGGAGGTGGTGCATCTACAGGAGGCTCACTGTACTTCTCTCTACTTCTGAATATGCTTGAAAGTTACTATAATAAAACATTGTTTAAAAACCAAAGGAGGAGTGGGAGGAAGATGGGAAGACTAGATAATCTCTGTATAGGGTCTCTTCTACTTCTAGTTTTCTATCTCTGGTAAAGATATTATTAACATTCATGCCAATTAGGGTATTTCATGGTAAAATTAAATAAAGACTGGTATTTAAACTCGATAATCTGATGAAAGCCTGGCAAAAAGGGGGGCGGAAAATCCTATGAGTATTTACTGCTATGATAGTTATATTTACCCTTGTAAAATGCTTCTTTTTTGTCTTTAATTCAAAGAGTGCTGCTGATTTATAATAACT